AGAAACATTGAATTATCTCTATAGTTATCAGTTGCGTTCATCCTTTTTCAAGCAAGTAACCCCCAGATTGAGGATGATCAGGGTTAGCCATTGCAGTTTGCCTGTTCAGTGTTTGCTTTCGGGATTTTACTTATTTTGCAACTGCTGATCCTTGGTTATCTTACAATCAGAGGATCATAGAATCACAAGGCTGGAAAGGACCTACAAGATCATCTAGTCCAACCGTCCTCCCATTACCATTATCTTTTCTGATGCTGCTGTATCACCTGGAAAACACTCATAAATTCTTGTTACTAATTACATACTTTCTATACTTGAGGTTTTTTTGTTAAGGATTTACTGTACAGTGATTTCAAGTTTTCTATTAACAAACCCTTTCATTTGTTTAGTCTTTTGGGCCTTAATCTTACAATACTTTATATTTCAGTGATGATGAAATGCCAGAATCAGTCCCAGTGCCAAGTTCAAGGCCTTCGAGACGAGCAAAGACTGCAGCACTTGAAAAAACAAGAATGAACCTTTCGACCCTTTTGCGTACGGAATCTGATGAGTAAAGACAAACTGAGGGGAAATGTCCCCTGCTAATGCTGCTTATTAACAGCAGGCTTGAAAAATTAAGGTTTCTCTTGTCATTAGTGTCATTTAATTTTTTCAGTATTTGATCATTTATAGCTCCATACTTTTCTAGGAACTTTTGAGTAACTTCCCCTTATGAAGTACATCATTGATGTAATAAAAACATATTAAAATATTACCTGAAGAAAAAAGGAGTTTTTTTTTTACTTACAAATATAAATTTTCAGACTTTTTTAAACATAATGTTAGTATTTAATGTTATTCAGAGAGAACGCTTGACCTGGAGTGGTTGCGTGATGGCAGCGCTTCTGGCTGTACTGTTAACACACCTACTGTCTTTCCTTCTTAGCCTGCACATCTGCTGTCTCTCAGGAGGCCTTTATGGTCTGTGTTAATTGGGAATTCTGCTTCTTGGAGATAAATGTCTGCTTTATTTTAAATGACATCAAAAGGGCAAAGCCAAAATTAACTCTACAAATCAAAGCCTGGAAGCCTGCTACCGACCGGAGGGGGGCAGGAAAGGAGGAGCACTTCCCTCCCTGGAAGTGTTAAGACCAGGCTGGATGGGGCCCTGGGCAGCTTGTGGGTGGGGCATGGAACTGAGTGGGCTTCAAGGTCCTTTCCAACCAAACCATTCTGTGACCTTGTTATATAAAATTGCTAATGTGCTTTTAGAAAAGCATAAAAGAAGTACCTAATAAGTATCCAATTAAGTAAGGTATAGAAAGGGCAAAAAATATAAGCTTCTGCATACCGTCTGTTTAAAGTGGCGGACAAAAGTGATTTCTATGACTCTGAAGATCACAGAGGTTTTTCTAATGACATATTTAGGAATAGTCAAAAGTTTTACAGAGACGATAGAAGATTAACTTTAAAGTGTGCCAAACATTCACTGTTGGCTGAGCACATTAATTCTGGAAATGTTAGGGGTTTGGTTTGGAAACACTCTGTCGATCGTATCCTTCTGTGTTACCATTTAATTTCCAGGGCAGTCAGTTAAAACTTAGGTTGACTGTTCACTGTGCACGTGTCAGTGCAACTTTCCAATGAATTTGTTTGAGATAGATTCATATGTGGCTATGATCTTCAGTATTTCTCTGAAATGGCTTAAGGACTAAACAAGTGAAAAGTAGCATTCTCAAAGCAAGGTGCTCCAGCTACTATGCTGTTTTCAAGTTTGCATACAGAAGAGACAGGACTATGTTCCTTTTCATCCCTTTCAGTTTTTGTTGGAAATCTTTCAAACCACAACATGCCACAACACATTTTTGTGCTGTGATATTTGCTATTCAGAGGCTTATGTAGCTATGAATTATTTTTTTATTCATCTGAAATGAATTTTGAAGTTTTGAGTTCTTTCCTTAATAGTTCTCTATCAAACGGTGTTCCCCGGTGAGTTTGCAAGCATGCAACCACTTGCGACCAAAGATGTGGGCTTGAATGCTACCTGAACAGAGCTCAAAGGGTACACACACCTTGTAGATTTTTTCAGGTGCTTGTCAGTCAAAGCTTCCCCCACACTTTAAATACTACTGTCTTTTTTAAATATATGTGTGTGTGTGTGTTTCACATGAAGCATGCGCTCTGAGAATGAGTGGTTGATGCTTCTGCCACTCATACACTACCAGCAGCTGCTGGTAATCCCTTTGTTATTTTGCTTAAAATGAGTTTCTAAAAAAAAAAAACAACAAAAAACCAATAAAAATGTTTAAAGGCTTCTGTAAATGCTTTTCTGAATAAATTGAAGATCTTCAATTTTGCTTTTTGTCCTGCCTTGCCGCATATGCAGGTCCCATCCCTGGAATCTCTTCAGGAATGCTGTACTGAAAGATCAGGTTTCTCTGAAGTGTCAGTCAGTGGATCTCAGCTGTGGATGTGGTTTCGCTGGTGTGTGTGCTAACAAAGGCATCGACAAACTGGACTGAGTTTGAGGGAGGCCCTCATTCTGGCTGGGGCTGGAGAGCTCCCCTTGTGAGGGGGAGCTGGGCTTGGGCCCCAGTTACCTGCAGGGATGTGGAGCTTGGCTCTTTGTTGCTGCATGTCATGAGAGGACAAGAAACAACGGGACTGAAGTCAAAACTCAGAGCAGACACAGGGAGGAATGGGCAATTGGACAAGTCGCACGAAATGGCTGTGCAGGATCAGTCCTAGGAGGTTTTTGAGAACTGACTCAAGAGTCCTGAGCAACCTGGCCTGATCCCACAGTTGCCCTGGGCATGTGGTTGTGCTATGGACCTCTTCGGGTTCATCTCTACCTGAATTACCCCATGATGTTCCTCCAGGCCGGAACTTTCATCAGGAGCCAGGAGGAAACTTCTGTCCCCTTTCTGGGTATTCCCCTGCCAAGGGAAGGGTTTGCAGTGCAACAGAACATATGGTCAAAAAACCACCTCATCTGAGAAAGGTGTTTGCTGAATTGCAAGGGCAGTATGGTTAGGTGTACTTTTCAAAGCTAATCACTGGCAATAAGGGAGGTTGATTGTTTACTTGCAGAATCAAAAACTCTACAAAGCCTATAAAAACTAAAACATTTTCTCCTGGTGAGAGTTTCCTTTGGCCAACTGCTATCTTAAGGTGAAGAATGAGTGCTGTACCAAGAGCATTTCTCTTTCTAGTTGTTTCTTGTACCTTTGAAGTGGTTAGTGAGCTTGTGTTATGCGGATGCCTCACTGCTAACTGAAAGCTTCTGAACCCATCAATGAATTGAAACTCAATTTGACAGAAAGTAATGGATCTGAATTTTTACAAGTTCACAGAAATAGATGCTTGGAAGTGAGACACTCCTGTAATGGAGAAGTTCTGCTGTATATTTGGTATATCTGGATACCAGATGTTCTGGTATTTGAGAGGATGAGAAATCTGCATGGTACGTCCTTCAGACACACAGGAATAAGGACAGGATGCATCAGTTCCACTGCTTTTATGACTTTCTCCATTCCTTTTAGTTTGTTGTACCTTGTTGGTGCTCCACTGATGTCAACTCCAATGTCTCTCTCTCAGGAAGTTTTATTCTCATCTTTTTGCTCCCAGAGAATCCAAATATATTAATTGTTTAAGATACATAAGGACCATCTAGAGGGTGCAATCAAGAATGTTCATTCTGTACCTTGTCCTGCTCTGATGGCTCAGGGACTCAGTGGTCTTGAGGGAACTTGAGTTACAGTGATTCACAACCATTTTTTTAACTTACTTACAAATGCAATCAGTAATTAAACAAGCTTCAGCAGAGAAGAGTTGCATCATCTTAAGTATTGTGATGTTTTTAAGTGAATACTCAAAAGATTTGTTAGATAAAATACAGAATTTTCCAAGGAAAAATTTTCTTCTGGGTTGGTTCTCTGCAAATAAAGGCAATGCAGTGAATTTAAAAACCTCTACTCTAGCTATTGAATGTATGACTCCAGCAAAGAGAAGTGTATTGTATGGTTTTATTCTAACACTTGTTATAGCTCTATTAATAATCAAGTTTGGATGAATAAAGTACATAAACCTTGCTAAAGCTTATTTAGGCGTGGAATGTCTACAATGTAGTCAGCTACAACCATTCACTACTTCTTTGAGTAGAGTTTTTTGATGATTACATTGAATTTCCAAAGTACAAGTAGAAAAAAAAGAAATAGGAAGAGCATTTACATCCATTTTAATTGGTGTCAGGCATAAATTCATTAAAACAAAAGGGGAAGAAAGACCGTTCAGCGGAAACCTCCAAAAGTGCAGATACAGATTTGCTGAATGACAATCATTCAAGAGATTCTCCTGCAAGGTTGGCCTTTCTTTGAGACATTACGGTCATTAAACACTGCCACACAAAAGTTCTCAAGATAAATGAAGATGAAAGCCTACTGCAGAAACAAACTGGCTGTTCGTACATTTCAATCCATTTATGAAGGAGATCTTGGATACTTTACCTTCTCGTTACAGCTTTGCTTCGAGGTAGTCAGTCTCCACCTGGTACAGATTTGTTTGAATTGTTATTACCATAAATTGTTACATGGTGACTTATGCCACAATTACGTAATATATTAACTTTCGTGCACAAAAATAAAATTGGGAAACAATAATTAAACTTAGAGAACATAGAAAAATCACAATACTATTGAAGGGGAACATCTGATTCTGATATAAATCTGTACTGCAAGAATTCCATGAGAGTGAGATGTGAAATTTCATATTTAAAAAAAAAAAAGTACATCAAAATGAATAATGCTAATAGTAATATAAAGCCAAATCACACAAGATCATTTCATGATCAATGTAATAAATGCTTATTATTCAGCAGAAAAAAAAAATCAAGAACAATGTACAAAATAATAGTGCAAGAACAGCTGCAATCTATTTGTTCTCCTCAGTTTTGAGATTTTGGTTAAAAACTTTACAGCTGGCAAGAGATGCTGTTGAAAAACTCAGATTCCACTCAGTGGGCTGATTAAGGCACATCTTTATGGACTTCAAATGTTCATTTTCTGTGTTCACATCTATTGAATTCTGCGGCTCAGAGACTTTCACTTGTAGCGTGCTGTGAGGAAAGAAGTGGGGGTCGGAGAGGGGAGAAAGAAATGAGAGAAAGTTTAGTATGCTTTCCTCTTTGTCCTGCAAACAAGCAAACTGATAAAGGCGAGGTGGTGGCAGGCTGCCTGTACTGGTTTATGATTTTTTGTTTTATTGCAGTATGTTCCAGAAACAGACCAGAACCAGCAGGCCAGAACGTAACTGTGCTAGGCTCTCCATGCTGCGAAGCTGGATGGGGCTTGTTTGTGTAGGAGCAGCTGATTTTGTTCGTTTGCAGAGACTGTGCTAGGTGAGACTCCTGCCACCAACATTCCTTTGCACAGGAGCAGCAGTCTGCAGCCTGGCCTTCCTTAATCCAAATCCACTGTAAAACCACAGAACAGGAAATGGGCAGAAATTATTTTGTCTTTAATGACATTATTTTGTACAGCCATAAAAAGACTAATATAGAGACAAATCTAGGACAGTAAGTAACAGGAGAAGGAAAAGAAACCCAGTTCTCTGTGGGGATCACTAAGCAAACCAGGATGTAAATGTGGATTGAACCATGTTGCCATATAAAGCACTGTAGTGGTTCATGCTCAGGTGAGGAAAGAAAAAGGCAGAGTTTGGAATACTGTCCTGCCACTTAATGAAAGAAAAACAACGAAATCAAATCAAAACCTCAAAAACTCCTCAAGGAATGAATTTCAAACCTCTCCATCCCTACTCTATTTCACTGCAGAGATCTTTGTCCCACGTGCAACAGTGTTCATCACCATCCTTCTCGAAGTGCAAGATTGGCAAAAAGTGGGAAATATTCCTAATTATTGAGATAGCAAACATGAAATTCAATGTACCGTAATGAAGGTTATGAGCTAACAATCATGCAGTAAAGTACCTGCACCCTCTTGCTCCTTTTAAAGGAATCTTTAAGCAGCAGAACGCCCCACCTTCTGCATTTCAGGAAGCCAGGTCTATCGCAGAGCTTAAGTGCAGATTATCAAGGACTGACTGCGCTGCAGCATGTAGTGCTCACTGCAGTTCTAGTTCCTGATTATGTAACCATACAATTCACTTTGTTGCATATGTGAAGACCTAAGCAAAACTGCTTATAACATGGGTGAACAGTAGGAGGATGCCAAGTAGTTGTAAGACTCTACCCTGAGATGTACTGGTTTGCATTACTTAAGTACTATTGGCTGATTCACATTAAACTTTTTCTCTTGATGGCAAGAGGGAATTACAGCTTGTATAACAGCTGAAGTGGCAATTTAATATTTTTCACAGATCATTTGAAACACAATTTTCATGCTTTACATTTTTATGCAAGCTCTCTGGAAAGTTTTGTGCTTTTGTAATAATGCAAAGAAGGTGCATAGCACTTCTAATTTACTAATCCTTATTCCTAACCCTCTGTAAATGGGGTACTGCCCCCCAGCCAGTATTTTGTTTGTCTCTCCTCTTCAGAGCGATCCTTTGTATTGTTTTTGCCTTTGCACCTTTTTCCTTCATGGCGTTTCAGGTTTGCACGTGCTTTTGTTACTCTGATCAATTCTTTCCCATTGGAAACAGAGCATGCAGTGCTCTGTGGAAGCGACAGAGAAAGACATCAGTCAGTAGGGTTAAATTTTTGCATTTACAGCCTCTTCAGATTTGAGACTTTGCCCTCTTGCTGTGAGGAAAATCAAAGCCTCAGGATTAAGAATGTATGAGAAGGAAGTAGGGCTGACTTCTGAAGTATTGCTGCCTTCCAGGCGTGGCCTGGTATTGAAACTTGATCTAGGAGCAACCAACTGAAATACTCAACAGCTAATTGAAGTGATAGCGCAGGAGTTTTTGGTTTTGTTTGTTCTGTCCTGGTTAGCTGAAAAAAACATAAATGCTGTGGGAGTCTAGAATTTGCAAACTCAAGGGCCGGGCAATCACCAAGTGCATGAAGTTCAACAATGGCAAGTGGTAGAATCTGTACCTGCTGTGGGGAAATCCTCTACTGACTGGGAAATGAGAGGCTGGGAAGAGACTTGGGGCTTCTGGATGACAGCAAGTGGAGTCTAAGCCAGCAGTGTGCCCTGGCAGACAAAAGGGCAACCATCCCCTGGGCATCAGGCCCAGCACTGCCAGTCAAGAGAGGGAAGGGATTGTCCTCTGCTCTGTGCTGGGTTGCCTCACATGGAGCACTGGCTGCACGTTTGGGTGCTACAATACAAGGATATAGAACTGTTAGGGTGTCCAAAGGAGGACTACAAAAACAGGGAAGGGTCTAGGTGGCAAGATGTACGAGCAGTGTCTGAACTCCCTTGGTTCATTCAGCCCAGAGCAGTGGGCCCCAAGGTGCTGGTCTCTGAGGAGCATCTGGACAGTGCTATCAGAAGTATGGTTTGATTTTTAGGTGGTCTTGTGTGGAGCCAGGAGTTGGACCTTAATATAAGCAAGGAAAGAATAAAGTTAGAGAGCTGCATTAATATATTTTCTAAGCAATGTGAATCTAGTCTTTCATCCCACTTTTGGTTCTTTTACCTGTAGTGATTTATTTTCTAGCTGTTGATGTAATAGGAGGTCTGACAATTGTGTATTTCAATAGCATTTCTAAGTAGATACTGGAATTAAATTTAAAAATTAAATAGAAGCAGTTGGATTTCTCCATTCAGATCCATCAGTATATTCTACTCTAAATTTTATCCTGTTCTGCTTATGAAAGGTTAGTGTGTATAACACATTTCTAGTCAGAAAGATGCTTTGTACAGCGATGCTTATGCTAGAAAGAACTGTGGGATACAGTCTGATGCTACCAGAAGCTACAAAGCCTATTTCGGTAGAGCTTGGAATTGGGTTGTAGGTCATTATCTCCTCTCTATATCCTTTTGGTGTCCTCCACTTCGAAGGCATGCACTGGGTGGAGAATGGAGCTCCTTTTAACTTCATTAGGTGAAATGCCTTGACAAAAACAGACATTTTACTGATCTTAAATGTCAGTCTCTGAAAAGGTTAAAGTTTCCCAATTCTGCAGCCATCTGTTTTCTATTACAGCAATTATCATCTATTTTCTTTTAGTCCACGTGAGAATAACTCAGTCGCTCAGCTTCCATGCACGCAAGTTTTGGAGGTCGGATACAGGTGCTTCTTCACATGGAGCGCTGCAGCACCACTCTGCGAGGCACACATGCAGTCTCAAGTTTTCTAACTCTGAGTATAGGAAGTGAGTGCATGTGAAGCAGTGGGGAAGGAGCAGAAGGAGCAGCTGGGTGCTGCGTGTCACTATAGAGCGCTCTGCCTCATCACTGAAGGGTGGGGATCCTCACGACCCATTGGCTTTCTTTGGCAGCAGTGGTACATGAAGCAAGTGGTTCTAGGAAGCTGTCACTGAGGATACCACAAGATTTTTATTTTATGAATTGTAACAATTCCCAAGTTGCCTTTACTAATCACCTCTCAATTCCCTTTTTCAGATCTGCTGGGACAAGAGCAAGTGCCTTTGCTATTCTAACAAATCAAAGAAGACAATTTAAATTAATGCTGCTGGATTCTGAAGTTCTGTCTACTCAGCCGTCTCTATGCAGAAAAGCCTATATGTGGCCAAGTATCCAGGCCTGCCAGGACCTACAAGGACTCTCTCCCCACTACATTTCCCACCTATTGTTAAGGAAAAAGGAATTAAATAGAAAGGTCTTTCAATTTATGTTTCCATTAAATATATAAGTATTTCTTTCCAAAGTTTTCTTTTGTTACTTCAGTTTTACCCAATCATCCAGTTTCAGTAATACTGATTCTTACTGCTGGCACTTCAGACCGATTCTGTTTAAGATGATAGGCTGCCAAGCACAAAAGAGAATAATATTCTTTGAGCTCTTTATTCTCTTTGCAGTTTAAAACTGCATTCCTGAAGAAAACCAGAGGAAAATGACACCTATTATATGAAAATGACAAAGTTAAAATAGTCTGGATAGCTGAAGTGCATGCATTTGTACAGTTAACCTCTGCCTACTGTATGTGAAGGCCACACAGAAAAAGTAAGCATAAGGATAATTGCTATCTGTTAGGAGACTTCTCAGCACTAACTGACAGAGATTACCATCAGATGTTGTGCATCTGTACGCTGTAAAATGTCTGTGCAAGTGTTGCTGCAGGGTTATGCTTCTCTAATCATTAGCAATACTGGTTTCGTAGCACAGTGTATCTCCTTGATTGGCTGAGAGCTGTCAGTCTGTTTTTGAATTCTCCTACCTGACACAAGTTCTGCAAACCAGACTCGTTAAAGAAAACAACTATTAATGATGTCCAAATCTATACCTTAGAAAGCATACAAGCATTCTTGATACATTGCATTTGATACAAAGCAATAAGACTTTTAGCCAGAGCATTCAAAAAATGGAGTGGAAATAGAAAATATTTTATGTTGTTTAAGTTATACATGTACAAACCACTCCATGATTTCCCAGAAAATGAAGCAGTAGAATCTATACAGCTTAAATGCACAGTGACTACAGTGCCTCGACAGGCATTCAAGCAGAGGCTGATTCGCTAACGCTACATACACTGAAACAAAGGCAAATCAAGCACGCACTGTCAGATTTATTGTCTCTGAAATCTGAACTTGTCTTTGCACAATGCCAAAATGCAACATCAAAGAAATGTACTCAGAAAGTTCTTTATGCCTCATTTCCATTTATCAAGTGGGTTCGCATTGTAATAAGAAATAAATATTTTTCAAGTGAATGAATGGAATTGTGTTTGCTAGCGCATGAGACAGAAGTGCCCTGAAAACAGATGGCACCCCCAACTAGATCACAGGAGGTTGGGGAGACAGCCAACATGAAGGGAGTGATCTAAAAATGAGATGTGTGTTGTATTTAACACAGCTGGAACACTAAGAAAAATAAAACAGTAAACAAAATATAAGTGAGACTGGAAGTGAACTGAGGCCAAAATACAGTGTGAGAAGTCAGAATCAGGATGGGTGCATAAAATCAAAGAAAACACAAAGCAAATACATATGAGATACATGAGAAAAATAACTAAGAGTTGCTTTAAGGCAGCTTGACTATCTAGTATTGTGGTTTTTAAGGTTTTTGTTTAGAAGAACCACCATGCTTTGTGGCGATACACATTATCTGGCACAGAGCACAGAATTCTTAAAGAAAGCGAAATATTAGGGTAGAGTGTCACCAAAATGGTATGAAGAAGCGATACAATTTTCAAGCATATTTTATTAGCGTTACTATTAAATCTTTTTAAAGAAAAAATAGTCCTGTCTCTAATCTTTCATAGCATACTGTCATTGAAAAACCTTGGAAACAAAACTAGCTAAAATCCTAACAGCTGGAAGGAAGCATCACTCATTTCATGAGGAACACCATTAATTTTTAGTATCTATTTAGGCACTGCTGTGAAACAAGTTGGCCTCTGTTCCACAAAAGAAAACAATTTCTATGCACTAATGGAAGCTAGCAGCATACAAATCAATTTAAACAAAACAGAACAGCAAAAAAATAATAATAATAAAAAAAAACCAAACTGTTGTGCAGTTTTCTTTAGAAACATGTTATAGCATACGTTTGCTATTTTAACTGTACTTATTCATACTGAAAATGCATTTGTGCAAGGTTGGATTTTGGGGCTTGGGGTTGGACGTTCACAACTGAGGATGTTGGTTCAGGCTGCTGATGTCCACAGAAACAGAGCACCACCACCTCCAAACTACAGCAAATACAACTACGTATATTTGTTATTTGAATTGGATTAATCTCCAACCTTTAATTCAAAATATTTTTTGGCATTACAAGCGCAGTTATGTTATGGAGGGAGATCATCTCAGAAACATGAGACAGTCCCTGTGCGACTTACAAGGCACCAGGCTTCTGAATTAAGGAAGGTCAGACAATAATTTGCAAATTAGTAATTTCCTTTTCTGAGATTTCTATTATTTAAATATAATTTTAAAACAGCTGTGTATAGCGAGCTGATGGACATGCACTCAAGAACAAAGATACCAGAGAAACAAATATCTGTAACTGGAAACACAGGTAACCAACTCCACCCTAATTTTAACAATGGACGCCTTACCTATAGCTCTTACCTCTTTGTTCACTTTGTAAATAAGCTTTTTACATTTAAAAAACATGTGACTGTTACTGTGTACTTTGCAGTAACAATCAATACAGTCATTAAGAATGCTGAATTCTTACTGTAAGTACATGTTTTTCCCAAAATTTGGGAAAAAGCACCACTCAAGTGAGTATCAGACTACTTTTGATTTTCAAGTAAGAAAGATGTCATACTGTATTTCATCTCATCGAATTTTTCTGCTAGGCTTATATTTCATATACAGGAAAATAATCCATTATTTTAAGAAAATAATCAAGATTTTAATGGTTGAAAACATACAAGCTTGAGGGCAAGCCTGTATCAGTAAAATGCCAAATATAATCTCTCAATTACATGATAGTGAGAAACCTGTGAGAATGTCCATCCTAAAAGACTGACTTCCCTAAGTGTTCCCAAGTCTTTACACATGAGAGTATTCCAACAAGAAATGTGGAACTTTCAGTGTAGTTCCCAGCAGGACCACTGTTTAGAAATATTCCACCTTGAGCTACAAAGTAAAAACAGAAAGAGTACTTACCTAAGAACTGCTTGGAAAAACATGAAGAATGTAATCGTGTTACTCACTAATGGCTTAAAAATACACAACTTATCTAAGATCTTCAAAACTAAGTAGAAATGAATAGGCTTATGCCCTTGAAAAGATTTTATGTGAAGTGTTACACTAAGACAATTTCTATGGACAAGCCTAACCTTGGTCATCACTGAAGAAAAAGCAATAACCAAATCAGGCTTCTTGTCCCTCTTACAGATACACCATGATAAAAGGCAAAAGCACCGGTTTTCACCCGTATGACTGAAAGGAGCGTGAAATAAGAGGATGGAGAGGGGTGAGCTGGCACAGCCACTGAAAGAAACGTTTGTGAAAGGTATGTCTGCATTTTGTTTTTTGGTAAAGAACAGATAAAGATGAATGCAGACAGAAGTCAAGTTTGACTACTGAAAGAAGAAAGTGAAACCCGCCAGGCTGACAAGAAAAACAACAGAATACAGAAAAGAAACTTAGATCCCAGTAAACATGAATTTCTTAATAGATACAGATTTATACTTAATAGAGCAACAGATACCATTATACCAGAGAACACTGAAGAACAATCTAGAATGTGACACATGTCTACAATGTGCAAGAAATCATCAGAAAAAGGTCCCCTTTTTGCAGTTAAGAAAAAATGTAAAGAGAGACTTAAATTGCTAGACCTATTCCACAAGAGTACAAACAGAAAGAGTTCTAGAATCCCGAGGCATCCAGTGGCCAAAAGCATAGAACTAGGAAGACAAAGCCTGCGTATAGGCCTGCTTTGGAAAAGACATGTATCTTT